CCACAGCACGGGTCAGTACTGTTACAGCACGGATCAGAGTTTCCACAGCACGGATCATTGCTTCCACAGCACGGATCATTGCTTCCACAGCACGGATCATTGCTTCCACAGCACGGATCATTGCTTCCACAGCACGGGTCAGTACTGTTACAGCACGGATCAGAGTTTCCACAGCACGGATCATTGCTTCCACAGCACGGATCGGGGTTTCCACAGCACGGGTCAGTACTGTTACAGCATGTATCATTGCAGTATGATGGTAAGCCGTCTGTTGAGCAGCAATATTCCTTTGATAGTACACATTCTGGTTTTGTACATGCAAGTTGTGGACAACTACTAGCGGAATTTCCGCAGCACTTCTTGCAGCAAGTCGTATGGCAGACTGACCGTTCCATGACATGTCTTTTAGAATTGCCGCAACATGTTGATACACAGTCCTGACAATCACAAATGCCTCCACAACACGGATCACTGCTTCCACAGCACGGGTCACTGCTATTGCAGCACGGATCATTGCTTCCGCAACACGGATCACTGCTTCCACAGCACGGGTCATTGCTATTACAGCACGGATCGCTACTTCCACAACACGGATCACTACTTCCACAGCACGGGTCATTGCTTCCACAACACGGGTCATTGTTATTACAGCACGGGTCATTGCTATTGCAGCATGGATCACTACTTCCACAGCATGGATCACTGCTTCCACAGCACGGGTCATTGCTATTACAGCACGGGTCATTGCTATTACAGCACGGATCGCTACTTCCACAACACGGATCACTACTTCCACAACATGGATCGCTACTTCCACAGCACGGGTCATTGCTATTACAGCACGGGTCATTGCTATTACAGCATGGATCACTACTTCCACAGCACGGGTCACCGCTTCCACAACACGGGTCATTGCTATTACAGCACGGATCACTACTTCCACAGCACGGATCACTGTTAGGGTCGCATCCCGATCTATAAAATTTGTCGTTGTTAGTTTAATTTACCAGCAAAAAGGAAAGAGATTCTAACAAGACATAAAACCTACTGCGGCGATGCGGATATTAAGCCGACCAAATATACAATGAGAATAAATAATATAATGAATTTACTTCTGACCGCCATGTTGAAAGTCAGGGGTAATTTTAAATTTGCGGCAGCAGTCGTTCGATCATATTTATACTCCAGGGGTACCTGTAGAAATTAATTTGTCTAAATTGAAAAGATTATTCAGAACACGTGAGAAAAGATAATATGTTACGTTATAGAAACAATTTAATACATTCGGCCAAAACTTCCAAAGTGATACGATTGTGAATCGATGAATAATCGGGATGTAGTTCATAAGCTTGCATGCAAAAATGAGTTGTAATAGAAAGTCCTATTGACGAGATTTATGTTTAAATTAAGTTTAAGCGTATCACGTTAAGAACTTGAATAAATACGTTCGAATTCTAAATTCTACATTAATATTTTGTCCAAGACCATTATTAATCTAATCGGAGACTATGCACACGTCGATGCAAGCTTAGAATATTAATACAGTCATTCTGTATATGGTGATACGTAAATCCAACAGATCAGCTGCAAGACGCGTATTGCGCCCCCAAAAGTTATCATGTGATGAGATTTCTTTGTCTTCAGCCGATGTTATGCACAGTATCAAACTACTTTATTTGACATGGTCTAGATTTGAGATAATGTGGGCGTTATAAACGAGTTGTTGCATGGAATAGTGCTTGATACCATTGTCCAATGTACGCCTACGATACTTGCAAGAATCGCTTTACCCGTTTAACGCATTTGCATTACCATTAAATCAAAATTCTCATAATATTATCTCTATGCTGTTGCCTTATTGTCCTGACATTTCTGTTTATATTTATTGGGAAAGCCGCCGCATTTCTTTACACACCCAATTATGTAGCGCCTATACAGCAGGATTTGTGCTCACTATCATATTCCTGTTTTTATAGCATCTTATACTGTCAGCCAATTTCCTGATCATCGTTATCTTCGCATAATCATGTTTCGGTGTGTAAGGTTAAAAGAGAGCACACAGGATTAAACGTATAAATCAAAAAGAAATTTTTAATAGTAATTTTGTCCAAACTTATATGACGATAGTAAAATATATTAATATCGTTGTTTACTTTGAAATCAATAATCTTTTATGAAACTTTTTTCTGGCCTCTCAAAAAGTTGCTTCCTATTTTTTAAATACTACGTTAAGTTTATTCTTATTCTCCGTTGACATAAGAATAATGAATTGTAAGATGTTTTTTTTCCTAGAAAAATAAGCTGGATAACGAAAAACATAATGGGTATAAATTGAGTGAGACAAAGGGAATAGTAATAGTGCAACTAAGATTGTTTTTGTTACACCGAGATGGGTCCCCAACTGAAGTGCAACTTCCCAATTTATGTTTCCTTATTTGGTCTCATACAATACTGTCTTTCAAACGCCACTGCTCCAGTTAATATGTTTAGAATAATGAAAAAGAGTTAAATTTTTAAATAAGAATTAGACTTGTATATTTTACCGAGTACAGTCAGCGCTCGTAAGAACAAAGAGGACAAGATGCAAGTTAAAAAGACAGTCAGTCTTTGTTCAAGAAAAATGAGTATACTAATATTTTTATTGTGTCGAAAATTGCAATGTAAACATACAACTTAGAGAAGGAATCTCCAACATACGGGATAAAGTCTCGAAACACAATTATCAAGAGAAATACAGCACATACCCAGAACAAACAAGGAAAAGGTTAAAGTCATACTGATAAAATTGAGTGAGGAGAAAATTCTAATAACCATTACTTTGTAAAAGTTATAGCAAAACTAGTTGTTAAATTATGAATAATCAGCAAAGTTGGCCGTTGCTTACTGCATTTATGAGTAAAACCTGATTGCGTTACGTTATAACTAACAATAACTAACAACTAAGCTAATTTTTTTCTATCGCTTGTACATGTATGCATGACAGGAAGCACGCATCTAGTGAATTACGAGAAGCGTTGAATACAATCCTTGACAAGTCAATTTTGAACACACATAAAAGCACATATTGGTCACATTAAATTCGAATAAGCTGAATTAAAAATTACCATTAAAATATTTTTTACCCCTCTTCGAGTAGTAAACACTATGTTTGAAAGTGTTGATACTCTGCATATTTGAATCAGAGATATTTCTCAATAGAACACGGCATACACTCTAATGTTTTGTTTTACCTGCGTACCGCCACGGATGGGTCATGTCGACTACGTAATGTCATAAACTCTAAAAAAGTTGTCGGTTCAGTAATTGACAATACAGCAATAGTGCAAGAAAATTGTCTTCACCAAGGAGGTGTTTGAAAGTATTTTTGTGTTCTCTAATACAATTATAATATATTAATAAATATGTATACGCTAAGTCACGTGAAATATAAAATTCCTTGAGCTTTCTATTACGTTTCTTGTTATTGATGCCGCCGTGATTGAAAGACAATGCTGTATGCCATTTTAAATGCCGATAATAAACCACAACACCGAACCAATATTCACAGATATCTATTTTTGCTTCTTGTATAATGATTTATGTAATTATCCTTGATAGATAAAGTCCTAAGTTATAAGAACGTTAGTCCAGTGGTCAAGGACATGCGTAATCCAGCAATTGACAACTTGATCCAAGCCTCTTTAGAAGATCAAGACTTAATACTTGAATGGGTTCCTTGCTCGCAAATTACCGACATAAAGTCGGCTCAACTTTGACAATGTTTATTACGTCATTTACAAGAGAACGCAGGATAAAGGTGGGGACACGACGATAATGCTTGTACTACTTGGAAATTGTACACTAACATGCGTGAGTAAGTTTGCGAGAATATACTCACTTCCAACACTTGCAACAATGATAGACGGATATAAGAAATGGCTTGAGTGTCGCAACATACTGATAATGGGGTTTACCGAGTACGACGATTATTATATGGTTGCTGATGCGCGCTTTTACCATTGTTATTCTCGATATTGGTTTTTGCGCTGCGTGTGGAATATTTTGATGTAGCCCAGTGTGGTGCGTATGCGGACACAAACAATTATCTGATGGATAGACTAGCAACAATAAGCGGCTCGATACCTTTATCAAGAAATCTCAGTTACAAACAAACTCGACAAATGATGAGACGATTGTTTGAGACATGAGTCATACTTGCATGATCTACCTCTACCGAATAATCTACTGATTGGCATGTTAAATCAATTCCACTTGAGATAATCTGTGATGAGACACATAACTTATATTATTTCGAGGTAAACTATTTACTTATGCGTCATGTTATTGAATATATTAAATAATTATTGACTTATTATTTATTATTTCCAGATATTCTTGCCACAGCAACCATCGGATTTACATACAGAACAAGCAAACAAATAAAAGAAGAGTATGAGAGGAAATTATGTCTGGCGTGTACAAATTATACCGCCGCAGCATTCTGTTTCAATTGTAAAGCACCAATACCGCTCAATTGGACGACTGGACTGGCAACAAGTCTTTGGAATCGTAACATAATACGACCAATATGTATGATGCGTATATACAATGGATCGAATACTCGCTGTTATCAAACGCACAAGAGAATCAAAAACAATCGAATTTTGACACGCGTGACGTTCAAAAAGATAGTTGATGAAGGAGATAACCAGTCGTTTGATTTCTATCGGAATTGATAATACATATCGCGCAATAACACATCGATCAATTGTAACCAAGAGATATTAACACCATACAATATTTGGATAATCGGGAGTCGCCTACTCGAGAATACTATTTAGTGTTCTACCATGACGTACGTGCAACAGTGAACAGGTTTATACGACTTAATTTGCGGTGTTGTGATGCTGATCCTGATAAACGTCCTGATGCAGATACACTTTACAAAAAATTTGCAAAACTTTATAAAGAGCTTGACAAGTATGGTATATTATCATCACAATGATGTAAACCGTCTCGAGAAGGAGAGTTAATATGCTAGCAAACTCTTACCACAGTATGTGGCATTTCTTGTTTAACTATTTTGCATTGTTCAGCTGTAAATCGAGTATAGCGAAATTTAGTGTGGATGGTAGGAGTTTTATTGCATCAAGTTGCAATTGCAATATGTCATCAGTGTAGCAAGATGATTAATTAATCTATAATATAAACTAGTAAATTCGGCCTCGAGTAATTGATTGTGTCGCGCGTTGATCAGATAAAGATGTGTTAAATGAGGGTTTATGCGAAGATAATGGATTGCGATAATATTTGAAGTTGCCGCGTAATTTATTTTATTACGGCAAGGTAACATGCAAAGGACAGTAGCATTGACAAATATTTTGCGAGACCATTGGACCCTATCTTTGATCAAATAATTTATTTCAATTTTACAAAATAAAGTAATAAACAGATGTTGTAACTGAATATATACATAGTTGTTTGTTTAAAACAAATATATAATGTGTAAATACTCTTATTTTTTGACCAAGAACAAGGCGTCCCTTTTATTTGGCATTGCATAATAATTTAAGAAAATGTCGAGTGGTGTTGATTTCGTTAGCTAGATAGAAACGTAAGGTCGTTGAATGAAGATAATTTAATGTCTTACTTTAAATGGAAAACCATGACTACATCTAAGTTTAACTTAACAACATTATGTTAAGTAAATACAGACGTATGATATCATAATGCAAAAGTTGTTTTAATTTTGTACATTCTGGTTTATAGACATTTCGTAAGTTGTACCTGATATGAAATGACGAAATTGTAACATGTCTTCTAATATAGGCAAACTACGCGGCAAAGTTTGTTATTGTAACATACGTCATTTTTACCTTTTATACTTCACAGACAATTAAAAGGATAGCGCTTTACTTATTATTATTATGTAAAGAACAAACCATTTTCTTAGTTTGTGACGATACGACTATGGTTAGTAACTAACTAACATATTAATGTTATAATTAATATAAAATTAAATAAAATATAGTGCGTAGGGCTTGAATAAACAATGTAAGCTTGTCTTTTGCGTATGTATGACAACAGTACAGAGAAAGCTCTGAGTATGATGGAAAATAATAAATAGACTGTCTGATCGCCTATGCATTCAGAGCAGAACGTGATCCTGTATTTGCAGTTTTATTGGCTGTCATACAAATAATTTGATTATCACTAATCGACACGTTACAAGAATAATATAATTTTATTTCATTATTCCTAAAAACCGAAGATAGAAGCCGTAGTGGTTAATTGAACAATAGAAAAAAGAAATACACGTAAATGTAACATCAAAAACCCATTTCACGTTAAATAGAAAAAAGAAATACACGTAAATGCCATGTTAATGTTAAATAATATCGTAATTGCTAAGTTACCCGATGTTATTCTATCCCAGAATATTATTCAAGGATGCCAATAACAACTGAGGCAACTATGGTCAAAATTTTCACCCATATTTCCACTCTTGTCTTAGTGTTAGAAGAAGTAGAAGAGGAAGTGGAAGAAGTGGGAGAAGTGGAAGTGGAAGTGGAAGAAGGTGGAGTAGGCGTAGTAGTAGAAGTGTAATTTGAAGTGGAAGTGGAAGAAGTGGAAGAAGTGGAAGTGGAAGAAGTGGAAGAAGTGGAAGTGGAAGTGGAAGAAGCGGAAGAAGTGGAAGAAGTGGAAGAAGTGGAAGAAGTGGAAGAAGTAGAAGAAGTGGAAGAAGTGGAAGTGGAAGAAGTAGAAGAAGTGGAAGAAGTGGAAGTGGAAGAAGTGGAAGTGGAAGAAGTGGAAGTGGAAGAAGTGGAAGAAGTGGAAGAAGTGGAAGTGGAAGTGGAAGTGGAAGGAGAAGGTGGAGGATTAGGTTGAGGAGTAGACGTAGTAGGAGGAGTGTAATTAGAGGAAGTGGAAGTAGGAGGATAAGGTGGAGGAGTAGACGTAATAGGGGAAGGAGGAATAGGTGGAGTCGGATTAGGTGGAGTAGGAGAAGTGCATTTACTATAACACGTTGCTGGTAATGTATTATTGCAGCACGGGGGTGTCAGCGTGCAGTCTGCGTTAGAACATGGGAGTGTTGGAGTAGGCATTGGACAAGCATCAGTATAAGTACACGTCGACGGTGGACAATTTGGATTATTACAGTATGTTGGTAAGCCGTCCGTTGAGCAGCATGGTGGCGATGCTTGGCATTCACTGTTAGGACATGCGGATGCTGGACAGGTAACGTTAGAGCAGGGGGGTTGTGGTGGGGGTTGTGAACAATATGGATCATTACAGTACGCTGGTAAGCCGTCCGTTGAGCAGCATGGTGGCGATGCTTGGCATTCACTGTTAGGACATGCGGATGCTGGACAGGTAA